AACTGAAACATTTAAGAAAAAGGACTGTTACTCTTTTGAGTCATCACCCAACAGAAAGGGCATATCATGTTATAGGCAACTTTATGCGACGTCCTTGCTGAGCGACTTAGTTCTGTGTATAAGTAACGAGAGAAGAACTTAACTGTTCCCTCGATGCTATCTGTATTAGGAGCTAAACATACACCATATGAACAAAAACTTTCAAAATTCTACATGTCAATTAAAGGTGTTGAAAATGTACGGCATGCCTGCAGACAACAAATCTATTGTCTTGGATTTACTTGGCTTCTTCTATTTCAATTCACTGCATACTCTTGTAATAATGCATACAGCCATACAGGAATTGACAAGTTGATTAAAAAATAATTGTGTCTAACCAATCTGCTGTAAATATACAAGAGTTTGTATATCTTGATGCTCATAAAAGATAGCAGTTTTCATTGCAAAGCTGAGCAATGTAATACCTGAGCTATCAGTCAAAATTCAAATTCTCGTCTTAAACTTACAGTCAAGATATTAAGTTTTACTTTATACATGACACTGTTGTCTCTTCCATTCAATCACTGATGTCAGTTGTTCAAGCCTCAAACAATTTAAAGTTTATCTATTTATCGACATTTAGTTTTAAAGAACCTGATTCATATAAAAATGCCTTTACTTTTTTTGTGGTAAATCTAGGTTAAAAATCCATATATTATCTAACAACAAATATACTTTCGCTGCAAAAAAAAATTGTTTGACAAAACATATGAGAATCGAGTTGATGAGAAGGGAGGAATATATATGATGACAGAAAGATCCACCCGAATCGGCTGCAGGGCTACAAAAATGGCCTTTGTTTTTCCATTTGAGATTAATAGCACAATTAGACAATGTGAGAGTTCTTAAAATTCACGAACATATGTTTGTTATCAAGCACAAAGCTACACCATAGGCTTTCCGTGCCGTGTCCACCACGAGTATCAAAATCTGGGTTTTAGCAATGCGAGCCCTCAGACTAACCACTGAGCCACAAGGGTGTGTGTGTGTGAAACTTCATGAAAAAGAAAGAGGAAGCATTCATCAAGGATGGACATAATATCTGAAATGTAGATTTTTTTAAGACTGAATATATTCAGAAGCCAGTATGTCATGCCACATTTGGAGTACTGCGTTCAGTCTTGGGCTCATTACCTTAGGAAAGACATTGAATTGTTGTAAATGGTTCAAAGGAAGGCTACGAGGATGATACCTGAGATGCAAAGATTGTCATATGAGGATAGGTTAAGATCTCTGAAGTAACATTAAATATTTAAAAAAGTATTTTTTTTTTAAGGATCTGAATGAGGCGTTTAAATTATTAAGAAAACTGATAGTATTGATGGATCATCTTTTTTGCATTTTAAATGGTGAGAATTGTAATAAGGTGGCACAAATATAAATTTTGGTAGGGTAGGAGTCATCTTCAGCTAAGACAGCTTCATTTTTCTAACAGGGTGGTTGTTCCTTGGATCTGCTTGCCTTCAAATATGGTAGATCAGTTGGTTTAAGGGAAAATTTGATAAATATTTTAATGATAAGGGCTGGCTTTGTATTTTTTATTATTTTGTTCAATTTAGTGGATAAAACAGCCTAGATAAATCAAAATGTCCCTTGTTGTCCTTTAATGTCATGTTATATAGGGATCACAAGGCAGTTTCCAAGAGGCACACAAAAGATAAGCTATGTTTTTAAGTTGTTGGAGAGAAAAGTCAAGTAGAATTAAAATGTTCAACTGGCAAAATATTTAGAGAAATTTGATGAAACCTCTTGAGAAAAACAAAACATTCCAATGAAAGCTTTTTTGGGATGAAATCTAAGGTAGTAGGCTGAGGAGATATGTTATGCCAAGTATATGTTCCACTAAGACAAATAGGTACAAAAAAAAAGGAGGATTATGTAGCTTTGAATTGCAGTTCTTGGATCTGTCCAAGTAGGATTACCATCATTTTCCAGGGATGGATTATTCTCATCCATAAACAACTCAACAACCTGATCAAAAACCAGAGTATCTTCACAAACAGATCCCCATATGGAGAAACAAGTGTAAAGCTCTTCGTATATTATCATACTGAGGGGTCAATATCACAACTAAGCTGGAGTGACCACTCATTGCAAAAGGATCCTAAAGAGAAATGGGTACCGGCAGGAAAAGCTGACTGTTTTACTCCCTATTTAGTCTTTTTAACAATAATTTAATTTTTTTTGATAATCACATGCTAAGTAACAATGACCTTTACTCTTCTTCCTTTCCAGTCTCTCTCTTGGTTCAGAATCTGTAGGAATTTAACCCCAAACTTTTGTATTATAAGCTCTTAAGCGTACCATTGAGGTACGGGGGGGTGGGACAGTATGGAATCTGAGAACGTTCTATCTCATGACATAATTTATCCTGAACTTAAAAACTTTACCAATAAAATTAAAAATTGTTCCACAATATTACTTACAATAAAACATTTCACTTTTACTACTTCACTTGATATTTCTCTCTTGGCTTTAGAGCACCTTTCCATGCTGGTTATTTTCCCAAACCTTATAAGGCTGCTAACATTTCTGCTATCAAGAAAGACAGACAATCATGTAAATTGCCTGGGAAGGAGAACAAAGGTTCTAAGCATAAAAAAAACAACATTTTATTTACATGAGTTGAATGTTTCAAAATACATTTATTCCATCATCAGCAAAATCTGAATATAAAATGTACTGTAGTAATCAGTACAAGTTAACCCTTTCACTGCACTGGGAAATATACGTCCCAGGTGCGGTGAATGGGACAATCCAAATAGTATTCGAAAAGGGATAAGTATCTGAATAAACATATTAGAGAATACAATAAAAACTTCAATACTAGTGGGAAGTAAACAGTAAAAGAAACATAGTTATATATTAATTTCTTGGATTTCACACAGTTACTTGAAGACTATCTGTGCATTCAGTTCCTAATTTTGAATTGATAGAGGGAAGTCAGCTAGTCAACACCACCCACTACCAATTCTTTGGCTAATCTTCGCCAATGAAAATTGGGATTGATCTTCACATTACAATGTCCCCATAGCTTAAAGGGTGAGCACATTTGGTAATGGAATTCAAATTCAAACCTGTGGCCAGCTGATTGCGAGTCAAGGATCTGAACCACCAGGCTTAAAATGTATGTACGTTTATACGTAAAACAGCACAAACTGAAAAACATGATGCTAATATTGTAGATGCAATTTAGTACTAACTGATGGTTGTTTGTCATTATACTAATTAAAGTTTTAGTTGCAAGAATGTTTACACATTATTTAGATGTAACTCAAAACATTAGGTTCCTGTAAATACAATGCTTTTCATCTTCATCAGTATGTGTTTTTTTCTCCAACATGAATCTATCATCAAATTGCCTAGTAGTTTACTAACTAAAGAAAAAACAAAAATTACATCCCCGATGATTAGCTCTTTCCTCAAAAAATAGCGAGGTTTTTCATCCTTGTGTAAACATTCTACTTTCAACTGAGGTGTGAAATAATGTGAAAGAAAGAGCATCAGTTGAAGCCCATATGTTGAGTTTTATTATAAAGCCAACAAAATGGACATTTTCTAAAACTGCATTACATATTCAACAGTTAACAACGTGAAAGCACTTTACTTAAGGTCACTACCGCTCATTGACTCCATTATCTGTCTCTATCTCTATCTATCTGCAATTATATCTCCGCTTTATTTGCCGGGCTTATATACTAAAATAGAGGGCGCCTAGAAACAGGAACAGTCATGATCCTTCTAGAAACTCCAGCGCGCATGCTTCCAGTGTCACGTGACTTCCGCTGTCGTAACACTGCCCCTTCCTTAGTATTGTTCGTCCCGAACACTAGGCACTTACATTAAACCAATAGATAATTAACAATAACTTGATTAAATGTACAGAATTTACAAACACAAAATTTCAAATAAAACAAAGTCTCTTAATTTTACGGGACGTATCTTCTTCCGTACTGGTCTCCGTCTCGTTGGCTTCTGCTTCACGTG